CATTACAAGATTTTTCAAATTTGATTTGTATGGTCCAGATTTAATATAATTTTATTTTCATATTTTTTAATAAATTATTATATTAATAGGTATATAATTTAAAACAAAGATAATCTTGTAACTATTACTTTAAAAGAATAATAAAAAAATTAATCTTTTAATCCTCCAACTTTTAAATCACTTGTAACTCAGTTCCTTAACTATGACTCACTGTGACTCAATCCCTCAACTATGACTCAGTCCCTTAACTTTTAAATCACTTACAAATTAGTCCCTTAACTTTTGTTAATTTTTTTATATTAGCTTATATCCCACATCGATGAGCAAAAAAAGGATATTTTAAAATAATATATGAGCATTTTTTATCCCTTTTATTTGATAAAAAAATTTTAAAAAAAATTAAAAATAAGGACTAAATTATAGGTGAATCAAAAGCTGAAGGACTGAGTCACGATAAGTTATAGTTGAGGGATTGAGTCGCAGCGAGTCATAGTTGAGAGACTGAGTTACAAGTGAGTTAAAAGTTAAAGGATTAAAAAATTAATTTTTCCTAATAATTTTTATATGAAAAATTACATGTTAAAAATTTTAAAACTAAATTATTTTTTAATAGCTTAAATTTCACTGCAAATGGGCACAATATAATGAGCACCGAATCTCAACTTGCCCATCCTTAACTATGTATCTCACTCTTAATTTGATCGAATTTACAATTGACACAACACACAGCGTAAAGATTTTTTATCAAGAAGTGTACTTCCTGAATTGTTTGGTTAAGCTCGTGGATCGAATTGGAACGTAACCCCACACCCAAAATAGAAAGGGGAAAAAAAAATTCTGATCAACAAAAATTCTGGTCAAGCGCACGCATTAACTGTCTCTCAAACTTATGTATCTGATGTGAATATCTCTTATTAACAGGGTGGCTTTGATATGATACGGAGTGGCAGAGACAAAATTGAGACTCCTGAACAGGTTCTCAACTTACTCTTTATTGTCATTTTAATTCATTATTATTGCCGTCAACATTTTTTTTCGTTTATTTCGTTGACATGTAAAATATTTTCTTATTAAGTTCTAAAATAGTCTCATTTTAGAAATTCACTATTGATGATTTTACTATAGTCTATTGGTTAGAATTAAATATTGCATGTTGTATGTTGGTAGTTCAAGCAAGCGGAAGAAACAGCTAAGAAGCTTGATCTAGATGGTCTAGTAGTAATTGGTGGAGATGATTCAAACACTAATGCTTGCTTGCTTGCAGAAAATTTCAGGTATATTTTATATTTAACTTCGAATAGGTACACTATAATTATAATATATATGCTGAAATTAATATCTGTTTAACTAGGAAATACAGTATTAATTAATTAATGTATGAGATGGTAGGAGCAAAAAGTTGAAGACACGAGTGATAGGGTGTCCAAAGACCATTGATGGCGATCTCAAATGCAAAGAGGTTCCCACCAGTTTTGGCTTTGACACTGCTTGCAAGGTACTATCAAATATATTTGCCAATTATTATTTGAAAAACAAAATAAATACAAAAATATATCAGAATAACGAGAAGAAATAATCAATGTAATGCAGATATATGCAGAACTGATTGGAAATGTGATGGCAGATGCCCGTTCTACTGGAAAATACTACCACTGTAAATTTTTTTCTCATCTTTTAATTAACCTTAATTAAATTCTATGATATATAGTATTATATATATATTGCCATGCATGCTGATCTTAAACAAACACAAATATATATAATATCAGTATTATATTTGTGAACTTTTTGTTCTTCTTTTTAGTTGTGAGGCTTATGGGAAGAGCAGCATCTCATATAACGCTGGAATGTGCTTACAGACTCATCCGAACATCGCAATCATCGGAGAAGAGGTCCTTTAATTATATTCTCTGCCTCTATTTCTTTTATGCTCTTTTAGTTATTGGTTTCTGCTATGATTCTTCAAGTTCGCTGCTTAAGTTGCATGTTTTCAATGAGATCAAAACTTCATTCCATATCAACAATTTGTGTATTTAAACATTAATTTTGGAATGTGCATTTATGCTTACGCCATATTATAAATATATATAATATGTTACACAGGTTGCTGCTAAAAAGCAGACACTTAAGACAGTGACAGATTATATTACGGATATAATCTGCAAACGTTCAGAACTGGGCTATAATTATGGTGTCATCCTTATACCAGAAGGTCTCATAGATTTCATCCCCGAGGTGATAATTGTTGATCAATATATATGTATATGTATATGTCCCTTAATTTTTTTTTTTCCATCTACTGTAACTTGTTGTTTACATATATAATAAGTTTGATGAAATGAACAAATGAAATTGAAGGTGCAACAACTGATATCAGAGCTGAATGAGATATTAGCACATGATGTGATTGATGAAGGAGGCATGTGGAAGAAGAAACTAAGAAAGCAATCCCAAGAGCTCTTTGAATTTCTACCAGAGGCAATTCAGGAGCAATTATTACTTGAAAGAGATCCTCATGGCAACGTCCAGGTTGGCTTATTTAATGAGTGAAGCGAAGTGAGAGTTAGGCTTGGTTTGGATGAAGGGCAAATGAAAAGAAAACAGGCCAGAGAGAAAACTAGGACGGAAAATTTCTTAACTATTTTTAAGAGTTTTCTCCTCTAGTTTTCCCTTCTTTCTATTTTTCTCTCCATCAAAATTAAGGATTAATTTGGTCGTGATGTAATGATATATATGTGCAATGAGTATAGGTGGCAAAGATAGAGACAGAAACGATGCTGATCCAAATGGTGGAAACTGAACTGCTAAAGAGGAAGAAGGAGGGCAAATATCACGCCCATTTCAATGGCCAATCTCACTTCTTTGGGTAACAACTTCTAATTTATGCTTTTAATTACAACAACAAACTTTATCCCATTGAATGAAATCATTTGCCTATATCATATGATGTCATTAATACTCTATTAATAATCATCTTTTGAATAACTTCATTGTATGTTCTATTTAGTTTTCCTTCACCTTTTCTTTACAGGATTTTAGATTATCTATTACATTTTTTTCACCAGTGTCTTCAATGAATTTCTTTGTATTGTTCAAATCATCTTAAACAATTTTCTATCATTTTCTCCTCCATAAATGTAATGTTATCTCTTCCTCATATATAATCATTCTGAAACTTATATTTTTTGAGTGCCCAAATATTTATTTCAGTATTCTCGTGTTTTCTTTTCCAACTTTATATTCTCATAAAAAACCTAACAGTTAGTATCATATAATATAGTTAGTATTACGAATAGATGATTACGAAGTCCAATCTCTTAAAGTACTATATACAGATAAATGTGAAAGTGAGAGAGATAAAAGAGAAATAAGTGATCTAGTTCTACTTCCGTGCCTCTGAATGTTGCAGAATTGGGATTCACTCTTCTCTCTCTATGTCTCTAAGAGACTTTGATCATATATATTTAAAAGAGCTCTCTTTTGAATAAGAATAATACATATAAATAATATATTGATGATGTACATGCAGATATGAGGGTAGATGTGGATTGCCCTCAAATTTTGATTCAAATTACTGTTATGCTTTGGGATATGCTGCTGCTGCTCTCCTTCTTGCTGGAAAAACTGGCCTCATTTCTTCTGTACTATCTTATTCCTCTTCTTCTATACACTCTTTTGTCTTTCTTTCTTAGTTACCTTTTCATGTTAAATTTCACTTTTCTCTACCTATAGTTCAACTTTCATAAAAAAATCGTGTGCGCGCGTGTGCAGGTGGGAAATCTGGGAGCACCAGTTGAAGAATGGACAGTTGGAGGGACTGCATTGACCTCTTTAATGGATGTTGAGAGGAGACATGGTGCTTGCATTTCATTTTACTAATGATTTATCTCTGCCTCTCTTACTGAAATATATTAACATATATATATATATATATATATATATTACAGGGAAATTCAAGCCTGTAATTAAAAAGGCAATGGTGGAACTAGAGGGTAAGTTGATGAATAGTTACCTTGTACAGGTTTACTTTAATTTCTTTAATAAAATTAATTCTATTTTCTGCATTAGATTTATATGAAAATGAGTGAAGGTAAAGGCTGAGTTGTGTTAATTAATTTTAAATTTTAACATACTATGCTAATTTAATTTTCAGTATAGTGATAAAAATAATTATTGATTTTAATTTTTGCGGAAAAAGTTGACGGAAAAGTTAATTATATTAATAAAAAATAAATTAAAATTTCATATCACATATCAAAGAAAGTAGATATCAGTAATAATTTAATCAAATCTTTGAATTAAAAAAGTTCAAGCAATTAATGTCAAATATCTGGTATTTTGCTTCCGCTTCTAACAGGTGCACCCTTCAAAAAATTTGCCTCCTTTAGGGATGAATGGGCCGTCAAGAACAGATACTTCAGTCCAGGTGCATTTTAGTAATATAATTTTCGTAAATTAAATATAATATAATCATGGGCAGATGAAAAAAATTAACATGGCTGTGTTATTTTGATTCTAATTTAATGTTTTACAAATTCTTCAAGCTAGCTCTTACCTGAAATCTACAAACAGGATTTATTCTAACACAATTCTTCTTTTACCTTTGTACCAGGTCCTATTCAATTTACTGGTCCAAGAGCAAACGATGTTAATCACACCCTACTGTTAGAACTTGGAGCTGAAGCTTAAGAAGAAGATTTGGGGATCTTTCTTTTGACCAATTCACTTAGTATACAATTAAAAATTAATAATAATTAGCTTCTGCTAATTTACAATGACCACATACTGTACTGAATTGATTCATACACGGTACACCAGGTCCTCTCTCTCTCTCTCTCTCTCTCGCCTTTTTGTATTTGCCCTATGACCAATTGACCAAAATCACTAGTTTGTTTTTTGTTTGAGGTTTGACAATTTTCAAGTTCTTTCACTGTTTGCTGGCGGTCACTCAAATCAATTCCATAACTGATTCGATGATACTGAAAGAACAGAAACTATCTATATATAGAACCATATTTAATATAAAACTGTTTGATCCAAAATGAAACCACAATCAAGATGCCTGCCATGATTTGGTACTATCAAAGAAACCAAAATTTAAATAAAACAAAAATTCTCGATTGATGCATTAAATCATAATCGAACAGGCACCAAAGTTAAAAAGAAAAGCGGGGGTAACATACCTTTTTTTTTTTTTTTACCAGAACAATTCGAACACATTTAAACCACAACTTAAACGTAGCTATCAATAAGCGATCTCCTCATCTCGTCCACAATAGCACTGGGTTGAGCTTCCCTAAGCTTGAAAACACTCTCAACAACGGAGAGCTCTGTGGCTGTTGTGTCTGATCCACAGAAGGCAGTCCAGTCATTAACAGTCATGCCAGCAGCTATGACCTCGCTACCACGATTCACAGTCCCAGCAACCAAAGGAACCTGAAGAAGTGTAGAGAGTTCATCCAAGTCTTCGATCGAAGTGTGAGGGTGAACCTGCACCAAATTTGGGGTCAGAACAGAAATAGATGTTTAAACGAATCTGCAATTTTTCATTACTTACCAAACCACCTCTGTTGGAGAAGGCACAGTAACTTCCAACAAGAATATTTCCGGCAATGGTCTGCCTGAAAACTTCTACTCCCAGCACGTCAGTAATCAGCTCCTCAGTTTCCTGAGCAAAGAGGTTAACAAATTGATGCTAGGGTGCGCACAACCCCATATAAAAAATCAAGAAGATAGCTGAGTGAAAATGGCTATCAGAAGAAATGATGCTTCCAATTCTATTGGCATAATGATCCCCCTTGATAAAAGATTAAAATATTCTTAAATCACAAATTAAGTAACAATAAGACTGAATAAACAATTCAACAGCCACTGTCACTTCTTTGAAGTTTTTTTTTTAATTTTTTTTAAACTAAAGTTGAACTAATTTCTATACGATAAAAACACATGCAAATATTCAAATAAGAATGGCTAAAGCTGGTCATGAGAGCAGATTTGATTGAAGAATCTTTGCATACATAAAACAACCTCCTCGCACAGTTCTGAGCTTTCTTTTTAATAAATTATTTACAATTTATGGGAGTTGTCAATAAAAAAGGTGATAATGAGGGTCAGATAGACAAGCAAGAATGCACTGTCAACTTCAATTTTAGGCTCACATTCTTGATAACTGTCAAATACAAGAAAAATGTTGCTGCAGAAAGAGAAAAGAGAACAGAAAAATTGAACTGACAATATAAGGGCTTGTTTGGTTATGTTTTCTGTTTTTATGTTCGTAAAACAAGTTTGTAGAATAATTTTTTAAAACAAGTTTTGAAAACAAAAAATGGAAAAAAGAAAAAGAGCTTTTTGAATCGTTACTTTGAACAAAATACCTAGATTGGTGAAATAAAAGGTGAAAGAATAATTTATTTTATTAATATAATTGTCATTAATGAGAGCGTGATATTTCCTGCCTTTTCTCTAATTTTGCAGAACAAAAAGTAACAAAATCTTTTGGTAGTTCTTAAAAACAACTTCTAACTTTTTTGTTTTTCAAAACAGATAACAAAAGACATTTTCAAACAGGATTTTTCATAACAAAAAACTGTTCTGAAAATAGGTAATCAAACAAGCCCTAAGCTTCCCTCCAGACAAATTTCCAGTACAAAACAAGAAAATACAACAACAACAAGAAGTCTTATCCCACTAGATGGGGTAAATAAACATAAGGAAATACCCTGTCCAGATCAGTGTGCGCAAGTGCCACATGGTCATTACATGCTATACAATTTCCAAGAGCAGATAATCTTTCTTCTACGCGCTGAACAACTACTTGATCTGGTAGACTGTTTCTCAAATGTTGAAGTTCTTTTGCAGTAGCCATAACAATAACATCAAAAGTTAGCATAATAAGCATGGACTTTGAAGGTGATTAAGAAATATTAGATTTGTCATACAACCAAAAATACAAGTTATTATCCACAAATGCCTCCACAGCAACCCTGCAAAGCATCATAATTGACAGGCATAAATAAGTTCATCAAACCCATCAACGAATAAAGTTCGTTGAAACATGATTGACCAAGAGAATTGAAGATCCAGGATGGTCGCAGAAATACAACAGCTTTCGCAGTCATTATAATGTTTAACAAAATATCAAACTAGAATATGATAATTGGATAAGCACCCAGAGAGTACCAGACAAATCAAACTTCCCCTGTCTGCTTTATAACTTTTTACAGTTACATTTATAAAAGAACAGGACTGTTCTTATCAAAAATGCACTTTTCACCATCTCACATATGCAATCTGCTGCATCAGTAAAATGCCAACTGATATCAAGGTTTTCAAATAAAGAGTTCTTATAACTTTTAGGGACATTTGTAACACTGCTCAGCATTCTCCTGGAAGTATAAAGATAGTATGAGAAAATGGGTACAAAACCTTAAAATATTTACAAGCTAAAGAATTTAGAATGAATGGGAGAAAAAGATGAAAAAAACTTGATATATATACCGCATCAAAAAGCTCTCTTGACAAAATTAAATGGGTAATGTTCTCTAGGATCAACTCTCAGAATAAGCAACTACTGCATAAGTCAGCCACTAACTTGCAATTACTTAATCCACAGCAGGCAAACATGTTAAGCAGGACTAGTAAATTCATCAATCGTTACACAAGATGACTCAAGTGAAGTGGGGTCAATTAAAATAAATATAAACATTTTCTACAGGTGTCGCATCACATATGCTGCAGCAAGACACTGAAGACTGATCATTCCATAATAATGTTTGAAAGACATCTCTCAAGAGGCTACTTTTTCTTTGGGGGCCCAGGGGGTGGATCCAGAGAGATATTACAGATAGATATATTACAAAGTATGACGCTTAGAGGAAGTGTTGCAGAGATCAAATACTTCAATAATAATTATAAGTGGAATAACCTTGGTCTGTGGTATTATGTGGCAAGAGCAAGCCATTCTTGTTTCCTGCAACCCACAAAAGAAACTAAGCTAATCAGCTCAAATAAGATGGTAATTCATGTCAGCATCTTATATTTAAAGGGAAAAAAAAACATTAGTGAGGAAAATACAATATGGCCATCCGTTAATTGCAAGGGGGAGCCTAAAGCAAAAACTGATACAAATTAAGAAAACAAGAAAATGGAAGACAAAAAAGAGAAACTTTACCAGCACAAAGGCGGCCAACAATACGAGTACCAGCAATGGAGGTCTTCACCACAGGGATGACATCTGCTAATTCAGACTCAAATACACTGCATGCAAATTGACTGGTGAGTATTGCATTAACCAAATACCCAAGTTCATAAAACCTATCTATCAGCCCTCTCTAATTTAAAATTATACAAAAACTACTATAAGGAAGACTCTAAGTGTCTGGAAACGAAATTCGGCGAGGGAAGTTGGGAATTGGTTTTGGCAAACTTCATGCAAGTTTTGTGGTACAAATTTAAAACTGTAGAGAATGCACGTCTGATCTTTACTAGAATTGCAATTGCACATAAATATAACAAACTGCAAATAGCCAATAATAATTATTAAATCAATATTGAAATCCAGTCTCACAGATGACTAGTTTGAGAGACCGAGAGAGAGTCATGAAGACCTGTAGAAGTTTTCAGAACCTCCAATGGCAACCAAACAATAGGCATTGGTAAGTTTAGAGAACACTCCAACTTCACAAGAGTTCTCAAACATAATTCCTGCAAAAAAATACATAACAGCATTCATTATATTTTTTGGAAGAAAAACAAATGCATACGCTGCTCCTACATGGGGAAACACACACACACACACACACACAAAAGAACCCTTTATAACCATGCACAGTGTAAATTAACAACAGAAAAAAGCTTATACATCTCACTTACTAGTAGCCATGATTGAGACGATAGAGACCTAGTGACCCAAGTAAAACACTTGAAGACAATGAGCTGAAATTCTGTTCAACAGAACACGAAACAGCAACAGTCATTGGAATGGATATCAATACGCATTACAAAGCAAAGCAAATACAAGCATGTGTTACAGTTATTTGCCTTAAGGTTAGTATCAAGGTTCTGAAATTTTGTTCACTTGGTAAATAAGTGAATATGGGTTATACGATTGTACACAAAATACGAATTATAACCACTTCGCCTAGCCCTTCTATTACCAATTCCAATCTTCATGCATGTAAGATCACCTCCAACAACTAGGATAATGATAAACACATAACTTCTAAATTCTAATCTATATGACCAGGCAATCAACACAGTGAACTCGGCAACTAATTCTCCAAAACGAAAATTCTAACACCATGTTCGGCTAAAAGTACAAAATTAATAACACCCAAAAAGACAAACCTCTCATATAGAGTATAGACCAAATGAAACACAACTGATACTGGTAACATGTTTAAATACCAGAAAAAATTCACAATTTTAGAAAAGCGGCTGAGCACCATAAGTAAAATATAATGACCATGTCTGAAAAGTTGTTTTGTTATCTAAAATTTAAATACCAGCAAAACCAGAGTAGTTCTCATCTATTATCTAAATCCATGACTGAGACGTCTCAAAGGAACTCCTCAAGCACACTTGCGAAACACTACCTGTAGCAGGTTTAAAATCGAGTAGGAATGGAGACCGAGAAGGACCAACCTCAGCACGAAGAAGACGACAGGATGAGAACGACGAGAATGAGCACGAGCGATCGATGGTGAGCACTTGTGGGAAGTTTGAAGGATAGCTGAGCGACGAGTCGATGATTGAGAGCAGAGCAAGACTTCACGAGCTGAGCTGGGGCGCCACAGAGAAGATGAAGGAGGGGGTCGGAGCTCGACTGACCGACGACGGAGGAGAGCACGACTTCACGAGCACAGCAACGAGGGTCAACCGATTGAAGATTGAAGAAGGATTGAGGACTGGGAGCGCCGCGGTGACGGTTAGGGCAACCGATTGCCAGTGATTGCTGATGCAATAATTAAAATTAAAAACAATAATTAAAATTTTTGACAACACTTTTTTTTTTTATTATTTTAAATCTTTTCATAAATAAAATATAAAAATTTTAAAAGAATCTAAAATATAAAAATTTTAAATATTAAAAAAATATAAAAATTAATAATAAAATACAAGTAAAATATAAAAATTCAAAACTATATATTTTAAATAATATTATATAATGTAAAATATATGTGTGTATGATTATAGAAAAAATTACATATAAGTTTAAGAGGTCTCATAATTTTATAAAATATTTTTAAAAAAAATTATTATTAAGAGATCTCATAAATATTATAAAATATTTTTAAATATTAAATTTTTTGTATTTATAACTTAATTAAAAGGATTGCTAATTAAACAACGATCATAATTTTTTAAATAGTTAACTTACAAAAATAATGTATGTGTAATATTATTGAAATTTCTACTAACATAAAATAAAAATTTATAAAACTGAGATAAAAGTCGTGATAAACAAACAAGCCCAACTTTATGGGCTCAGACACTATCGTCTTTTAAAATTCAGCTTTTTTTAAAAAGGCTCAAGACAAAATTTGTAAATCTATTTTTTAAAAAAAATTTTTAAAATAAAATTTAATATTATAACATTATAAATTTAAAATCTTCTAAAAATCAAAATAAATAAAATAAATTTATATCTTCAATAATATCACAATTATAAGTCAACTTTTACTTACTAATCACTTAAGATATACTTTTATGAATTGTATAGGATGAGAAGAGAGAACCAATTTTAAATCATGAAGAGCTCTTCCTCGTCTGCAATGTACCTAACACCTCCAGCTATTCAGAATGACGATGGCTGATTGTTTCCTTAGCTTACTTTCATTTGTTTCGTTAGTTTACTTCACTATTGGACTAGTCTTGTTCTCTCTGCACTTATGTACTTCTACACCTCTGCTTTTCGCTCTTAGCAATAATATCCTGTCTCTGTGACAAAAAAAGGCAATTTTACATATTAAAAAAATAAATGTATAAATTTAGTCATCAATTATTTGTATAGAACCACTGAATAACCTATCCTTGAAGTAGTGTAAAATAAATCATCAGCCGCGTTCAACACTTGCCATTAATTTGCCACTAACAGACGCTTGTTCAATGTCGTGGGCCCACATAAATTTAGCACTTGGCATTGTTCTCTTTCACTCTCTCACTCTCTCTCCTCACCTTCTTCTTCTTCACGGATAAAATAGCCCTACTCTCTCTCTTCACCATCATATCTTCTTCACTTTCACTCTCTCCTCACTATCATATCTCTCTACTTAACCATTATGAGTCCACTTCCACCAAGCAAGGTTTATACCAGTCAAGCATCTCTCTCCTCCTTCCACCTTACCTTTGGTATGTCCTCTCTTTCACTGTATCACTCTCTCTCGTCACTATCCGTGAATGTTAGAGTTCAACATGTGGTGCTGGACATTGTCGCCAACATAAATGGAAGCAATGGTGATAGACCAGATAGCTAGCAAGTGACCATTTCCACAAGCTTAACTTCATCAGCTCCCATGTAGATGATGGAGGTTCACCAGAACACCATCGTCAACTCTCAGTTTACTCATGCATGGAACTTGGCAAAAAGAGTTCTTGGGCTCTGCTTTAAAGCTCAAAATAAGGGCAGGTAGAAGGAGGTCATGGAACGTGAAGGAGTTTAAATCTAACTAACAATATAATAGTTGAGACGGAACCTCCCATTTCCAATGCCTTAATGGATGCCCTCAAGTGGGCTCAAGCTCATCAACATCATGGCCATCCAGAGTAGCAGCAACATCAACCTCTCTTAGCTGTGAAAGTTGAGCTCAAACAACGTATCACATCCATACTCAATAACCCAAGTGCTAGTAGAGTTACGAGGGAAGCTAGTTTTCATAATCTCTGAAAGCCATGGAGAAGGAGGATGATGAAGCAGATAGGGACAATGATGAGGAATTTGTGAAGCAGCAGAGAGAGAGACACAGATAGAGGACAATGACGATGAAGATGATGAAGGCCTTGGAGGATGAGGACAATAAAGTAGAGGTGGACGATGATGAAGAAGCAGAGAGAAAGAGTGAAGCTTGACCAAGGAAGATAGGGACTTATAGACCTGGCGACGGTGGCAAGCACAATGGCAATCAACAATGGAGGTATGAATAAGGAGATGAGTGAGGACTGAAGGGGGGCTCGCAATAAAAAAATAAACGGACATTTGTTTATATTAGACGAAGAATGTTGGATGCTGCATTAATGATTTATTTTGTATTACGTAACAGTATTAGCTATTTAATAATTTTTAAAAAATAATTGATAGTTAAATTTATACTTTTATCCTACCATCATATAACCACTAGCTCAATTAGTATACTCATGACAATTTAAATTTAAATTAGAAGTAAGAGAAATCAAATATTCCACACTTAAACTTGCTTAACAAATCAAAAAATCAAACTAATAATTGTTTCATAATTCACACTATTACAAAAACATTTTAAATAATTAATTCATCGAGCAAATAAAAGGAAGATAGAATTCATGGCCAAAACTTTATTTTAATTCATAAGCTAACATGGAAAATTAATTATTGAATATTCATATTTTAGCATTTTTAATTTTTTTTAATTTACTTTTATCAAAAAAATTAACAAAGACTTGGAGGGATCCAAATTTGAGTCCATTTGCTGGGCCTAATAAAGTTAGGTTTAGAAGCTTGATTATATTAAAAAATTTTAATTTTTTTAAAGCTGAATTCTTATAAAAATGGATTCAAATAAGTACCCTATTAAGCCTAACCCCTATAATAATAAGAAGTTTAAAAATGTCACTGTATCATTTAAACCCTTCATACTCTTCTATTTAAAAATATAAATTATTTTTAATCGAATCTCACTTAAGTAATTTACTTTTAAACTAATTTTATTTTTTTATATTTACCCTATTAAATACCTTATAATAAATATAAAGTCATTATTAATAGGGGCAATTTTGAAAAAAAATAATAATTACACCTTGAAAAAATTAAAAATATTTTATATTTGTGAACATCCAACTTTTTAAAAAATATTGTATATTTTTAATGGAAGAAATATCAAAAAACATTTAAAACCCTTTAGGTATAGTCGGTAAACAGGCGACACTCAACCCATATGAGCATGGCCTAAAAGTCTGTTTACCTTAAAATTGGCTAATTTTTAAATTCAACTTTTATTAGTCGGACTTAAACTCGAGCTTGTAACCCTTTGTTTTTTAAAAAAATTAATTTTTAAAAATTTAATATTATTCATTACACTATTATACATTCATTTTTCTAAGACAAAAATTATAATATTAAAAATTATAAATAATTAATATAAATTTAAATTTTAAACTACAAATATATATTCTAAAACTTAAATTTAATTTAAAATGGGGTATTAAAAAAGAACCTAGCTTAAAAGCTACGATACACTAAATTTTTTCACTTTTTAAATCCGAATCCGAAAAAGACAAGCTTAAACCCACCAAGCCAATCCCATATTTCTCACGCTATCTACAATTCCATCATTTCCTGGATAAAATGTAAGCCTGGAAAAGTGGAACGTACTTGGTTTTCAAAATTATTATAATAAACTTTTAACTTTCTCTACTCTTCCTTTCATTCCTTTTTCGACGTCAAGTAGTTCCCTTTCAAGCTTTCAAATGTGTTGCTGCCGCTCATCGTCTGTTTCTTCCTTCCAGTGATGTCGAAATCTTTCATTTCTTTCTAGCGACATTCATGTGGACTTTTCATCATGTTTTCAATATTTATCAGTAAGTTGTTCTCATTTAATGTATAAAAAAATCCTCCACTCCTTTTTTTTTCCTCTACCTTCTTGATCATAACTATGTCTTCTCTCTTCCAAAAAATAAAATAAAAAACTCAAAAATCTAAGAACCTCTAGTCTGAATTCCAGTCCAATAGTGATTTTCAGGTTTATTTCTGGCTGTCCAATTCGGTTCAACCCCAAAAACAGTTCTTTTAAAGAGAAACGAGTTGTTGCTGCGACTATCCGTGGACAGTCCAACTAGTAAGACTGCTCAACTTTCAAAACACTGGTTCTTACGCTTGCTAATAATAATAATTTATGTCTCCTTTTCCTCTTGCAAACATATATTGACTACACACACATATTAAAGGGAAGTCCAAGCCACTAATTAATTAGGCAATGGTGTCACTAGAGGGTAAGTTGATGAATAGTTATCTTTGTACTCTTTTAATTCTATTTATAAGACAAAGAGAGAAGAAAATATTTATTTTTATTTATAGGGCATTTGTCAATTTCCAATGCCCCTCTTTATATGTTTGCTTTTATTAAATGCTTTAAATAAAATTACTAGTAATGAGATTTAAAAATATTTATTAGGGATAAAGGTAAAAACTTATTAAATTTTAAAACAAAATTAATGAGATTTAAGGTATTTCTTAGTTTCGATGAGATATGATGGAAGTAACTTATAAATAGAATTAAAGGAAGTATATCTTTATTTCTATTTCTTTATTAAAATTGATCATATTTTCTGAACTAGGTTTATATGAAAGTGATAGTGAAGAGTGAAGGTACAGTTATGTTAATTAATTTTAAATTTCAGGAAAAACATCATTTTGGCCATTATAGTTTATTGAATTTTGCTTTTAGTCCCTATAATTTTTTTTAGTACTTTCAATTCTTATAATTTTAGAAAGATTAGGTAACTTTCGTATTTCAAGTCCCTATAATTTTCATTTTTCCGGTGGTTATTGGGAAAAAAAAAAAGCTTAGGAACTAAAAACAAAAACCAATAAAACTATACGGACCAAATATTATGTTTTTTCTAAATTTTAACATCATATGATAATTAAATTCTCATTACATTAATAAAAAATAATTATTGATTTTTATTTTGGGGTGCATGGGGGGAGTTGAAGGGAAAAGATAATCTATCTATCTATT